AGCTCTGTCACATTGACACTGCTGATCAATTAGAATCCATCCGGTCTGTCCCAGAAGCGCTGATGAAGAAAAAGAAGACCAGGGATTTCACATCCCGGGACTACTGGAGCAGCTCCTCTGGTGCTGAAAGTTCAGGAATACCAGAGGTAAGTAAAGCAGGGACTGGAGGATGGGTAGGATATCGGTGTTCATCTATACTTTTTTCTGTAGAGGTGAACTAACCCGTTAGAGTGTGTGGGATTTTTTGTCATTTATTAAAAACACTTTTAAAATATGAAAATGTTTTCTAGCTTATTTTATTTTAAAGTATATTAAACCCTCAGTGTTTTTGTAGCCTAACACATTAGGCACAATACAATAAACATCCCACAGTAAACTATTTTTTAAAATTCTTACCTCAGCACTTGCCGTTAACAACCTTCAATGTTGCTGGCTCCTGTTCTGTCAGTGCTGCTTCCCTGAATTTCTGGCCTTCTCAGAAAGGAGGTGACAGTGGACTTCTCCAGTCACAGTCAGTCTGTTAGCTTGGAGATGGGAGGGCGGAGGAAGAGAGACACACAGTGGAAGAGGCACCCTGAAACAGGATACCTGGGCCAGCAGTCATAGTACCAGCTTAAACTGGAACATAGGCAAGAATTAAAAGATGATGAAGCTGCATATTCAGTAAGTGATTGAATACACTTCTGAAATTGTTTAAAAATCTGATGGTTTAATATCACTTTAAGGTTTTTTGTTGATGGACTTTGGGCCTGTGCCAATGGAATCGGTTTGACTTGCATTTAAAGGATACGTTCACTTTTTTAAAAAATAAATAAATAAATGCACATTTTTTTACAGGTAAAAAAATTAGCAAATATTATTTATTTATTATTTATTTATTTATTTATCGAGTTTATATAGCGCCAAAGGGTTTGCTCAGCGCTGTACAATAGAGGGGGGACAATACATGAAACAGTACAGTAACATCAAACAGCACACAAGGGGTAAGAGGGCCCTACTCTTTCGAGCTTACAATCTAGGAGGGAGGGGGTAGAGGTACAGGAGGAAATGGCTGTGGGGGATGGAGTGGAAGGAGGAGGGAAGGGCAGCGGCTGTTAGGTGAGGGTGGGGTAGGCTTCCCTGAAGAGGTGGGTTTTCAGGGAGCGCCTGAAGGTGAGGAGGGAAGGTGACAGTCTGATGGGTTGGGGTAGTGAGTTCCAGAGGATGGGGGAGGACCTGGAGAAGTCTTGCAGTCGTGCGTGGGAGGAGGAGACCAGGGAGCAAGATAGAAGGAGGTCCTGTGAAGAGCGAAGGGTACGGGTAGGGTGGTATCTGGGAATCAGGTCGGTGAGGTAGTTAGGGGCAGTGTTGTGAATGGCTTTATAGGTCAGAGTGAGCAGTTTGAATTTAATGCGTTGGGCAATGGGGAGCCAGTGGAGGGAGAGGCAGAGGGGGGTGGCAGAGGTGGAGCGGCTGGTGAGGTGGGTGAGTCTGGCAGCTGAGTTCAGGATGGTCTGAAGCGGGGTGAGTTTGCACTGGGGTAGGCCGGTGAGGAGGGAGTTGCAGTAGTCAAGGCGTGAGATAATCAGGGAGTGAACGAGTAGTTTAGTGGTGTCTGGGGTAAGGAAGGAGCGTATCTTGGAGATGTTCCGGAGGTGGAGCCTGCATGAGTTTGTGAGAGATTTGATATGAGGTTGAAAGGAAAGGTTTGAGTCCAGAATGACGCCAAGGACCTTGGCTTGCGGGGCGGGATTGATGGTGGTGTTGTTGGTAGTGATGGAAAGGATGGGGGGGGGGCACGGGAAGGGGGAAAGACGAGAAGCTCGGTTTTGGAGAGGTTGAGTTTGAGGAAATGGAGCGACATCCAGTCAGAGATGTCGTTTAGGAGGTGAGTGATGCGGGCGGAGAATGTGGGGGTGAGGTGAGGGGTGGATAGGTAGATTTGAGTATCATCAGCATAGAGGTGGTAGTTGAAGCCGTGGGAGTGTATGAGTTTGCCAAGGGAGGAGGTGTAGATGGAGAAGAGAAGGGGTCCAAGGACAGAGCCCTGGGGGACCCCAACAGAGAGGGGGAGGGAAGAGGAGGTGGCGCCGTTGTAGCAAACGCTGAAGGAGCGTTGGGATAGGTAGGAGGAGAACCAGGAGAGAGCGGTGTCTCTGATGCCAAGGGAGAGTAGTTTATTAAGGAGGAGGGGGTGGTCGACTGTGTCAAAGGCCGCAGAGAGGTCTAGGAGAAGGAGGACAGAGTAGTCGCCTTTGGCTTTGGCGGTATTTATGTATTTATTTATTTGAGCTTGTAAAGCATTGCACCATTGTTCAGCAGATCACGTGCCATGCAGGTCTCCAGCAGATTGGCAGTTTAATCTGTGTGTTCGTACCTTGTACAAGCAGAAAGTTTAACACTGACCAGAAGACTGAATGAACTACCACAGCCAGGGGCGGACTGACCATTTGGAAACTCGGGCACTGCCCGAGGACCCAGGGTCAGTAGGGGGCCCCATGAGATGCCCCTGGTACCTTTTTCATAGGCTTTTTTGAGTTTGGGCAAGGACACAGGGGCCCCATGATCCCCTATTGCCCGGGGGCCCCATGAGTTGTCAGTCCACCCCTGACCACAGCACTTCACAGCTCTGTGGTAGTTCATTGAGAAGCTGACATCTGCAAAGGAGTTTATTCACAGAACTTTGTGAATAAATGACATGACCATGTGTGTGGAGCCCCATGCTGAGGCGCTGATTTTAAAAACTGACAGCTAATACAGGGAAATTCTCCCCGTACTGCTGTCACAGGAAGGGGGGATGGGGGATCGTGCAGTGGCTGCAGCAGTAGGAACATGTTACATGTTACGTGTTCCACCCTAAAAACAGATGAAACATGTAACATATTCCCAAAGGTGAACTCATCCTTTAACCACTTGCCGCCCTGCCACTGTAGAAATACGGCGGCAGGGCGGCACGGGCAGGCAAAACCACGTTTTAAAATGTGTGTTTTGTAAACGGGGTGCGTACGAGACGCGCCGCCGCCCTATCTGTCCCGCCGATCACCGCCGCGGATGTCAGTCGCCGGGTCACAGCTGGTCCTTACTGGCTAATTCCCGGCGATCGACGGCAAACAGTGACAGACAGCACAGCTGCAGTAGCTGTGCTGTCTGTCACTTCCCTGTCAGCTCGAGGACGAGCTGATCGAGAAAGAAGAGTTTCTCTCTCTCGATCAGCGGTGTCCCTTGCAGCACACACCCCCGCCCCCCTAGTAAAACACTCCCCTCACTCCTATAACCCTTCCCTGCAAAATAAAGTTAACCCCTTCCTCCTCAGTGCCATTAGTAGTGTCAGCGTTTTTTTTTTTTTTTTGCACTGATCACTGTATTAGTGTTTTTGGGGATGTCAGTGACCCCAAGTCAGTACCCCCCAATGTCAGAATGTCCGCCGCAGTCCCGCCATAAGTCGCTGGTCGCTGCCATAAGTTACTGATCGCCGCCATAATTCGCTGACCGCCGCCATTATTAGTATAAAAAAAAAACTAAAAATCCCAGTATCTTTCCTGCCATTTGTAAACGCTATAACTTTCACGTAAACCAATTAATTTACACGTATTGTTTTTTTTTTTTTTTAGCAAAGACATGTTTGCAGAATGCATTTTGGCAGAAATTTATGACTAAATTAGATTTTTGCATTTTTTTTTTTTTTTTTTTTTCTGGACATGTTTTATAGCAAAAAGTCCAAAATATTGTTTTTTTTCCCTCAAAATTGTCAGCCTTTTTTTTTATAGCGCAAAAAATAAAAACCGCACAGGCAATCAAATACCACCAAAAGAAAGCTCAATTTGTGTGGAAAAAAAGGATGTAAATTTCATTTATGTACCATATTGCATGACTGCGCAATTGTCTGTTAAACTAGCACAGCACTGTATAGCAGAAAAATGGCGTAAATTGCAGTATCTATACCATAGTTTGTAGACGCTATAACTTCCACACAAAGCAATCAATATACACTCATTGGGATTTTTTTTTTACCAAAAACATGTAGCAGAATACATTTTGGCCTAAATTTATAACCAACTTTGAGTTTACTATATATTTTTTATAGCTGAAAGTAAAAAATATTGTTTTTCTTCAAAATTTTACAAGTTGCTCTCACGCTGATACGTTTTTGCTACATTTTTACCTTGCAAAAAACGAAAAGAAAAATGTTTCCCTTTAAATCCCATGAGACTCTGCAGGTGCGGTGCATTTTGAAAAGTACTGCTTACCGTATCTGTGGCGCACTTTTTTCAAAACTGTACCAAAAACATAGCTGACCATTGAAATGAATAGAAAACAGCAAAAACGTAGCAATAAGGCATCGAAAATGAGCCGCAGTTGTGTTTTTTTGATGCATTTTTTTTAAATCCTATGTGCATGTTTCACAGGTGCATGCTGGGAGTCGGGCAGCAAGAAAATGCATGGGAAATGCATTAAAAACGCATGCAGTGTGAAAGCAGCCTTAGACTTGTATGGAAGAAAGTGAAACAGGAAGGCGCTTCTAAGTGCAGTATTCCAGGTCGACTTTAATAAAAAGCGGTTAAAAACACACTTACAATGTAGTAGTACAAACAGTCTCTAATGTAATCCATCAGTAGCAGGGCTCTGTCCTCTGAGCGATGGAGTCACTGTGCCAGCCAGAAACTGCAGGGGGGAGATTGAGGAGAGGAGTTAAAGATGGCCGCCTCTCTGTTCGGACCGCTGGAGCACACGCTGAAACACACATTGTCTATGGACCAGAACTGACGTGAGCATGGAGCGGTGATGCGTTTCGGAGCGTGAGCAGAGCTCCTTCTTCAAGACCGATGCCCAGGCTTAGGGAGAGCCAGTTGTCTCCACTCTTTAGAAGTGCTGCTCAGTACCAGTTTTCCTACATACCATCCATCACCTGCCATACTTCCACAGCATCATCCACCGACGCGCCCTGCTACCCACCTTACTTAGATTTGTATGGGACTACAAAACCCACTTGGAGCACACAAAAACCCACCAACACAGGCCCTTAAAGTTGGTTCACATCTGTGCGGGTTGTGCCTCTGCGGGACCCGCACAAATACCTGCAGCTGCACCACCCACACAGAGGAATGCGGGACCCGCACAAATACCTGCAGCTGCACCACCCACACAGAGGAATGCGGGACCCGCACAAATACCTGCAGCTGCACCACTCACACAAAGGAATGCAGGACCCGCACAAATACCTGCAGCTGCACCACCTGCACAAAGGAATGCAGGACCCGCACAAATACCTGCAGCTGCACCACCCGCATAGAGGAATGCGGGACCCGCACAAATACCTGCAGCTGCACCACCCACACAGAGGAATGCGGGACCCACACAAATACCTGCAGCTGCACCACCCGCATAGAGGAATGCGGGACCCGCACAAATACCTGCAGCTGCACCACCCACACAGAGGAATGCGGGACCCGCACAAATACCTGCAGCTGCACCACCCGCACAGAAGAATGCAGGACCTGCAGGCGGGTGCCATTAATTCTAATAGCACGCTGTCCGCACTGGAAATCCGAACCGTACTGGGAACCTCCATTCCGTTCCCGTGCAGGCTGAGATTTCCCAAGTAGAGCAGGGACTTCTACCCTGCTTGTCCTGGGGCACGGGAGTCCATTTAGGTTCTCGTGCCCACGCAAATTGAGGAATAATCGTTCTTCATAAATATTGGCCAACATGTATTCAGTTATCTTTTTAGTAAAAAAAAAAATAACCCAAATTAGGTTATAACCAAAAAATTTTTTTTACATTTTTTTTTATTTTTATTTTTTTATTTTTTTTTTTTTTTTACATACAGTCACCCTAGCAGTACAGTGTCACCATAGTGACACTGTACTACTTGTGGTGGGTGATGAAGATTTTTTTTTTTTTTTTTTTTTTTACACTGATTACTTTTACACCCATAAAGGCTGTAAAAGCAATAATTTCGCCTTCTCTCTGGCTGCATTCTTGCAGGCATTGAGAAATACTGTGTGAGCTGTGATTGGTCACAGCTTGTCACATGGTACAAGGCTGTTGTGAATACCTTGTACCATGTGATCTCTGTAATCAATCGCAGATTTCACACATAGTAAGCAATGATGTCAGAAGTGACACACTGCTTACTACTCTTCATGTGATCACTGATTGGCCAATCAGTGATCACATGATCGGGACCTTACACAGTGGTCCTCTACAACGATCGGTGTTCCTCTGTGTCCGGAGGACACAGCGGGCACCGGATCATGGTGCTGCACGCTCCCAGGGAGCGCGCACAAGCAGGGAACGGGGAGGCCGTTTATAAACGGCCACCCGCCCCAGCACTGCTCCCTTCCGGCCGTTTATATACATGGGCCGGACGGGAAGTGGTTAAGGAGAGAGCAGTATTGGCAGCCTTCATATATCTCTCAGATTTCATTTAAACGCTGTCCATATTGTGAGAAATATAAAAGCTATTATGACCCAGCCTGAACCCCTGTTGAGAAAATATGGAACCTACCATTGCTGACCCATCCTTCTGAAAATACTAATTCCCTTGCTATCATGCTAATCAAGAGTTCTGAATTCTCCCTGACTTGCTTGTTTAGGGTCAAGAACAGAATCCCAAGCTGGTCAGGCAACTAGCTTTTTCAGAAAGGCAACAAAAGCAGCCTCCATATCTCTGTCAGTACTGGTTTTCATTAAGTCTTGTATTAAAGTGGTTGTAAACCTTTACATATATCCAGTTATCCAGTGAAGTGACTGATTTCAGTCACCTGTTTCATTGTACCTGTTTATCTGCAGTCTTGTCTTCTCTACACATCCACTCAAAGTGCTGAATTTATGCCTGACAGTTCAGAAAAAAGGGGGCGGAGAGCTGAGAGCTGAAATTACACTCTGCAGAGCTCATTGAGGTGAATTCTGAAAAGTGATTGGAAGGATGGGACACCCCCCCCCCCACACACACACACACACACACAAACACAACTCACAGAAACAGAGCTGAGGCTGTCAATCTGCTGCAAGTTCCTCCACTGCCACCATTTTCCTCCTTGGTGTCAGGAAAACTTGTCAGAAGTGGCTCATGCAGATAGCAGAAGAACGAAGTAGCAGACAGAAATGACACTTAGTGCTCTTAATAGAGACACACACTATAGAGAGTTATGATTTGTTCATAGTTCATGTCTGAGGTTTACAACCACTTTAAGGCAGTAATAAAATAATTAAATATGTCCCAACTGATAAAGATTTAAATGATCAGTTTTCTAGATGAGGTAAAACAATTTATTACACCCCACCATTATGACAGCCAGACCCTCCCCAAGTCGATCTTTGATCATTCACATAAAATGTCAGGTCCAGCACCCACGTCTTATGAAGATGTGGCTTTGTTGAAGAGAAGAGGACCCGCTTCAGGTTAAACTGTTACTAAACCCACAACAGAAAAATCAGTTTGTATATACAGTAAAGCATGCTGGTTCTACTGTGTAACCTTAGGGTTTAATCCTCTGCATTGTGTAAAAAGACTGTTTGATCCTGTCTTCTCTGATCCTCCCCTTCGTGTGCTGTCCCCAATCAAACTGCTGATAGTACAGAGCCTTGGGGGCAAGATGCACATGCTCAGTTTGGTGTGTATTGCTAGAGCATTTTTTTTTTTCTTGGGACAGTGCATGTGATCAGCACAGGGCCAATCAGCACTGTCCAGACAGAGGGTCAGGGGTGATGCAGCATCATAGGAAAATCAGGGGAGAATTAAAAAGTCTCCTACAAGCTTTAACCAGTGCTCACCTGGACACTGATAGAAGTCACAAGACTGCTATATGCTGCTGATGAGAAAAGGCATTTAGCAGTGTTTATTTAACTAAAAGACATAAAAGAACACTCAACAAGTGATCAAGTAGCGCAAAAAAAAACTCTTATACGTGTGGAAAATAACAAAAATATATAAACAAAATAAGAATGAATTAAACAAAATCATAAAAAAAATTAATAAAAAAAATTAAAGTGTATAGTCCCCAAAAAAGTTCAAATAATATTAATTTATCGACCAAATAGTTCTTCAAAACTTCTTGAAAGATGACCACCACGTGAAAAAATGTAAAAGAAGTGTAATGTTCCCCCTCTCAGGTGTACACTCACCAGCAAGTATTGCCGACCACTCTCACTTGCTGGTGAGTGTACACCTGAGAGGGGGAAAATTACACTTTTCTTCAATTTTATCACATGGTGGTCATCTTTTAAGAAGTTTTTGGGGACTATACACTTTCATTTTTTTTAATTTATTATTTTTTTTTAATTCATCCATTTTTTTGTTTATATATTTTCGTTATTTTCCACACGTGTAAGAGTTTTTGCGCTACTTTTCTTCAATTTTATCACATGGTGGTCATCTTTTAAGAAGTTTTTGGTTACTATACACTTTCATTTTTTTTAATAAATTTTTTTTAATTTATTTATTTTTTTTTTTAATTCATCCATTTTTTTGTTTATATATTTTCGTTATTTTCCACACGTATAAAAGTTTTTGCGCTACTTGATCACTTGTTGAGTGTTCTTTTATGGGTTTTATTCATTTATTTTCAAAGTGGCAGCATTTTGTTTGTGTTAATACGCAGTCATTATTTGTTTATTGGTGGTATTCATCACTTTTCATGCATTTGGCGCAGTTCTTTTTACCATTTATTTGCTAAAATAATTGCATTGCCATGTTCTGTATACTCTGGGAGACCAGATATAGTGAATGCAGGGTCCTGGGTTTAGTAACACTTTTGGTAAGTAATACTGTCTTATCTCATCCAGAAGAAAAGTGAGCAATGTATCCTTTGTCAGTTAGAGGAGGCCTACAGGATGCTTTTGCTACTGCCTATAGTTCAGCTACGCTTCTGCTAAGTTATCCTGTCCAACTGGTTCTTGAGCTTTGTTCAGCTGTGGTCCACAAAGTGTGCAAGGAGCATTGGGTTCTTTATTTATGTGACATGACTATACCCGTATAACATGTCAATTCCATCTTAAGTGTCCAGTCTAATTTTATATATGATATTACATCCTGTTCCTATCAGTCCTAAGGGTTCGTAACTGGTTGTTTACAACCACCCTCTGCTATGTCGACATTCCTTACAGCAAGTGAACAAAAAAAACTGTCCTATAAAATGTATTTTCAAACGTTATCTAGGACAATCTAATAAAACCGTAAAAACCTTTTAAGCTCATTCCCTAAATAACGGCAGAAGCAAAGTGTAGGTAACCCATTACAGCCTCATATTAGAACTGACCTATAGTCAAAAATGGATTTTGATTGGTTGCTCTGGGTTTTGCACTTCATTTGTTGGGCTTTGCATTTGTTTATTTATATGTGATTTTGTTGTCTGTTATGAATTTCTTTTTCACATTTTTAAATTGTGCTTAGAAATGAACAGAATCTAAAAAGGCTGAGCCTAACAATGGGTACTGTAAAAGTCTAGTCTAGCATTAGGAAGAGACAGAATATAAATATTCTGTTTTATTATGAAAAGCATGGATCAACATTTTCAGGGAAAACCTTTCCACTGTTCCTGTAAATACTTGGATGGTAACAATGAGGGTTCTTACTGCAGTGTTTAAATGGCAGTCTATGATGAAGCCTCAGTGTTGTGTTCAGATGCTTCTGAAAATACAAATTAATGCAGTCTTAGGAAGCTATAGCTATAAATTGTTGCTCAGCATCAACTGTTCTTGTACAGGATTTATTTTTCCGGAACAGACTTAACTAATACGTCCATCAGTCTTAAGGATTATTGTGGCAAAACATCTGTCACCTCTAAGTGTCTATAAAGTTTATAATGGCGCACTGTGTAGTTTACTTTGCAGATGTGGATGGTGTTAGTACATGTTAAATTATTACAAAGTGCAACACATTGGGCTGGATTAATTAAAGGCAAATAGACTGCACACTTTTCAAGTGCAGTTGCTCCAGAAATTAGTAAATGGGGTAAAGCTTCACTTTACAAATAATACTCAATTGCACACAATGAAAAAAAAAATGTATTTTTGCTTTCACATGATTGGATGATGGAAGGCAGCAGAGCTTCCCCTTATTTCCTAACCCAGGAGTAACTGCACTTGCAAAGTGTACAATCTATTTTCCTTTAGTAAATCAACCCCATTGTTACCTATTGTACACATTAAATACGCCCATATGTTATTTATTTCTTAAAGCTGAAGTCAAAGCAGAAATGTATTTTGCATGTCTATAAAGGTGCCTTCTTACCTCTAACAATTTTGTTTTGGTTTCCATGTATAGGTATACTGGCAGTGAGAATGAAAAAGAAAAGAAGCGCCTCTAAGTGCAGCAGAACCACTTTAATTAGTATAAAATGTAGAACAACTCACATATATTTGTAGTAAAACAAGCTTATAAGGTGCAGTCTCATGGAAGTAGAAGAACGGCTGTGTCCCGGCTTTGACAGCCACGTCTGCGCCCAGGAAATCGTGGTGGCAGAAGGAAGAAGCCGGTTGGCATGTGTAAACTCCTGAAGATGGCGTCCTGAATGCACGTTGAGGCGTGATGACGTCAAGGACCAGCATGCATAGCTTTAAGGGTGTAAGCGCGCTCCTTTGTCAAGCTTGACGCCGACGTCATGCCTCAATGTGCATGCCAGACGCCATCTTCAGGAGTTTACAAAATGCCGGATGGCTTCTTTCTCCTGCCACCACATTTCCTGGGTGCAGACACGGCTGTCAAAGCCGGGACAAAGCCGTTCCTCTACTTCCATGAGACTGCACCTTTATAAGCTTGTTTTACTACAAATATATGTGAGTTGTTCTACATTTGGTACTAATTAAAGTGGTTCTGCTTCACTTAGAGGTGCTTCTTTTTCATTTTAAACAGAGTTCTGCTACAATACTATAGGAAGCTTGCCCAAAGTGCCCCATGGACCTTTATGCAGCCCTAAATATTGGACTTCATGGACTTTTATAATTAATTTGCAATTTGGTGGTGGTAGTTTTTGCGCTGACTGTTTTTCTCTTTTTTCTTGCTTGTTTATACTGGCAGTGAGAGCCATATTTTCTATTTCTGATGTACATACCTCAGCCCCCTTCACATTCAGTCTCCATTATGCCCTCTATTCCCCCAGCCACTGGTGTTGTCATTTTATGCTGTATTTCTCTTTTGATTGAGTAATGCCATAATTTACGTCCTTGATCACTGTAGTAGGTGGACTGGATCCGGGAGCCCAAGACTCCCGATCTGAACCAACTAATGTGACTGTGACATACCAACCCCCGATCCCACCCATTCCCTACAATTCCCATTGCATGACGGAACATGTAGTTTCTTATACCAGCACTGCATTGTCAGCACATATGGCGTATCTGCCACAATTATACCTCCTCCGATTACCCTGCTGAAGCTTCTTTTGGAGTGATGACATCATAGATCTTTCATCAGAATTATCAGCTGTTGTTTTGTAACTTATTGGCATTTATACTGTATATACTGTACAAATGTGATGCCACCAACAGGCGATTTTATCTTGAATCCCAAAGTTCAGTGTTAAATATATGACTACACAAGCGATACGGACTTATCACAAGTCCTCCGTATTAGACCATCTGTATTTTTGTTTGATTTTAAAACATTTTTTTTTTGTATGGAGTTTTCTCAAAATCAGATCCCTATTATTTACTAAGAGCAGAAGCTATTTATCAGTCTGCTACTGACTGGTGCCATGTTGTTAAAGACTTGAGTCAGAGCTTGTCCTAGCACTCTGTTCTCTCCTTTTTGGATCATTTGTTTAAACAGCAGAAGTACCCTGGTTCCTGGTATTTCCCATTTTTTGCCCAATCGGAGTGCTGCTGTGTAAAGGGTTTCAGCTGGCTATACCAAGGCAGATTCAAGCTACGTCTGCATAAAAATACATTATTTTGGTGACTACATAATTGAATCCAATTGTGTTCTTTATATCAGTTTGGAATTTGGACTTAACAGTTGACATAAAACCTTTACCAGTTGTATACATTAAAGCAGAACGAAAAGGAAAACTTTTTTTTTTTTTTTTTCATTTTGGATAGAGTAAGGGAGGGTTAGTTTTTTGCCATATGTGTCCCATTGGGGAGATTGCCTTTCACTTCCTGACCCATAGCCAAAACAGTAAATTAGAGCACAAAGTGAGGGAATCCCTGGGTTTCACCAGAACTAGTGTCCCCTCTTTCCCCTCTATTATTCTTCTGATGCCAACCCAAAATTTTAGATTTTCTTTTACTTTCACTTTCGAATTTATAACTGTAAACCGGAAAATAAAGATGGAGAATCTTCCTAATGGGGGCACATACGGCAATAAAAACTGATAGGTGTTCTAATCCATCTCCACTTTGTCCAAAGCTAAAAAATTAAAAATATTTTGCTTTCAGTTATACTTTAATGCTGAATGGGTTTCATGCATTTGAAAAGCAGATATGTACAGTAGTCCTAAGCACCTCCATTACCCACGTCCAGAGAAATACATAATATAGCTCCAACTCAACAGAAATATATCTAGGTAAGTCAGTGGTGTATTTAGGATTCGTGCTGCCCTAGACAACACAAGAATTGGCTCCCCCCATTGACCAACAACACTCCAGCACCCCCCACCCGAGAGAGCCTTCCACTATCACCACCCCCCATACACTGGCAACCCCCCCACCCCGACAAGAGATAAGACACTCACCTTCACAGCTCCGGACATGCCCGGGAACAAGAGTCAGGCTTTGCATACACCATCAAGCAGCCCGCAGCCTCTCTCAGATCCCACCTGATCCCCATGCTGCGTGTGTCCCTTCTTCTTTTCCTTCTTTCTGGGGACAGCACTACCCCCCTGAAGAATGCCGCTGCCCCCCTGAAAAATGCCGCCCTAGGCAAATGCCTTGTTTGCTTTGTGGCAAATACACCCCCAAAGTAAGCACATAATGTTCATCATTTTCTCACCTATAAATAAAATCTCATGTATAGTCTGTGTAGAGGGAGATCTAGAAGTTGGTCACAGTAACTCATCTGTGCTCAGTGTTGGCTCTAATTTACTAACATGGATAAAGTTACTGCTCTTCATTTGGTATCAATCCATTGTAAGATATTTCAGATTTAAGGAGAATACAGATGCTTTGTTCAAAGCATATATCATGGCTAGCTCAAATGAGCATCTATGATGTGCAAAATACAAATGATGATTTCCACAGGGTTAGTGACCTATGCACATCCTCATCATTGCTGACTGCACTGCCTTATCCAGTAATCCTTTAAGAGCAGGATGTACGGTTGTGTCTGAGACTGCAATGAGGAGGAGGGGGGGGGGGGGGAGAGTCACAAAGCAAGCAAGCAAAAATAGCTGTCTGACACTTCTCTTATCAAAGCTATGGACTCCAGATCTTCCTGGGAAATTCCAGGCCAACCAAGAGGTATACTTCCACCAGTGTTTTGTGGAACTACTCCTAGCTCTTTTATCAGATGGAAAGTGCGTGGTAATGATGCTAAAACTACCCAAATTAGCATGGTTTACTGTCCTTAATAGGTTAAAGTGCATGGCTGTATAGAAGTATCTTTGAGAAGAGACACCACTCCTCTGAGTCCAATGGTTGTTTGGACACATTTGTAAACGGGAACCCCTTTTTTGAGCTTTACCTAGTATGTCCAACTGGGATGGGGGTACATTAACTACCCATTTCATCCCAACAGGGACACACATAGCAATAAAAACATGACATAGGCTATACCTTTTCTCTGTTCTATACAAAATTACGATTTTTAGTTGGAGCAGGGCTTTAATGTGAGGGGGGATTGCTCCAATAGAGACATAAACAGGAAAAAAAAAAACATATTTACCTTTTTTTGTTTTAGCCCTTTCCAATTCTATCCAAAACTAAATTAAAAAGTTGTGTCTAGAGTGTTTTTCAAAGCTTTTGTGTTTTAACCAAGTAAAGGTTCACCTTCCACTTGAGATAAAAAAACACCTTAAAAATGTCCTTAAAGTCCCACCGTTATAATATATACAGTTATAATATATATAATAGTGTCTTCTATTAAAGCTTTTTTTTCATGCATCCACACACTTTTAAAGTCTGTAATCTTGTACCACATTCAAATGATCTTCCTTACAAGTAGATCTTGATCAAAACTATTAGAAATGTGCTCACCCATTAAGATGGACCTCTAGGTCATTGGAGGATAGATACCACTTTATTCATTTTTTTTTTAATGCATTGATCTTTGTCATACCTTCATCTCTACTGTTGACAAACGATCCAGATTCCCGCAGCAGTTAAGCAAGAAAATAACCACATAGTGCTCACTATTTTAAAAACAATACATAAACCAGAAAAAATATTAAATACTCACAAATTATTTTAAACACCTGTGCAATTTGTGATCAAATGCAATACATTGTGTCAACACATGCCTCTCCTGGTGTATGTAGTATGCTAACCCCATATCTCAGACCTCTGAATGAGTCTGATGTCTAATAGCATTTAAAGTGGTATTAGACATCAGACTCATTCAAATATCTATCTACACACTGTGGCTTGGGTTTCATGTACACTGCAGCTGATATACTCACATTTAGGAGCAGTTCAGAGGTTTTTTCAGCAGCCCCTGAACTCACCTTAATTTTTTTCTATGTGTCCTTGTACACATCTTCGTTTACAGTATTTTACAGGCATTTGAGTTTACAGTTGTTTCTTTTGAACGCAGAAAACCTGCGTTTAGCAGTTGAATTTATCAGCATTTCAAATGCAAAATGCTTGTAAACACGGCTAAATGCATTTATAAGCATTTGCGGTTGAAATCTTTTTTTTAACTCTTCCAGTTCCTGATGCTGTCCAGAGCCTTTTTTCATCATGAAAAATGCATGCAAAGTGTTTTCAAGGTACTCAGATGGACACTGAACACAGGATGTTCCTATCAAGCTTTTCACACATTGTAATGACCAATTCACACCTCAGACCTCTCCCACCCTTGGAAACAAAAGATATGTTAATGACCATTCACACCTCAAATTCCTCATGAAGACCCCCTGCCAGGTGTCCTTAATGACTCACTCCACCAGACACCTTTCCCACCCTTGGAAACAAAAGAAATGTTAATGAGCAACTCATACCCAAGTTAATCTCAACACATACTGCTGTCTCTGCTTCTACTCTCTGTATTTTTCTGAAACAGTCTAAAATAGTTAATAATTTACCACTTTCAGTGCATTCTGGGCATTTAGGAGGTTCTCCTGTGCTTCTCTTTAAAAAAAAAATGCTTCTAAACGCAAACGCGCATAGACGCGTTATGCAAACACGGCTAAACAGACGTTTTTTAACCTACGTTTTCCAGCAGTTCAGTTTCCATCGTTCAGAAGTGTCCCGTGTACATGGGGCCTTACACCACATATATGTAGTTTGCTCACCCAACAACGTGGGTCTTTAAACAAATCAAGGTCTGCTATCACTTTAAAATGATGCAGCTTATCTCACAAAAAAAAAACCCCAGGTCCAAACAGATGCATGCTACTGGGAAATTCAGATTCAATAAGCATACAAAAAAAAATTATCCCTTGTTATGTCCTACCTTCAAAAGGGACCTGTCTAATTAGTTTATAGTTTTAAAAACCTAGCTCTTACTGTATATAGGCCATACATGGGTCAAATTCTGAACACGTTTTCTTTAGAAAATCAAAAATTTTGTACGTTTTGTAATCCGATGGTGCCACCATTGATATCAAATTTCAACCAACCAAACCTTCAATTTCACCTCATGTTACAGAAAAGAATTTTCATGGCTGGGATTCTCCTTTTCTTTCCAGGTCACAGCTCATGCTCATTTTTTTTTTTTATTATATTTCTCGCACAATTCTGCCATCATTGATTAGAAATTCATTATTTAAAAAAAATAATTTCCAACATGCCCTATCACACAAATTCGAAAATTGGCGATTCTGAGGCCCACTAGCGGAGCGAAATTCAAAAGAAAATTTTTAGTTCCGATTTTGGAAAATCTTTTCAGAATTCAACCCATGTATGGCCTGCATTAGTCATACATATGCAAATATGTAGTAGCTCCATAGCAGTCCAATCCATTGGCTCCTGTTGCTGTCTCTTACAGCCAGTCAGCCAATGAGGAGAGAGAGGGGGCAGGGCCAAGCTGCGGCTCCGTGTGTGAATAAACACACAAAGCAGCGGGTGCCCCCATAGTAAGCTGCTTGCTGTGGGGGCACCCAACAGAAGGGAGAGGCCAGGAGAGCCTGCGGGGGGCCCTAAAAGAGGAGGATCCAGGCTGCTCTGTGCAAAACCACTGCACACAGCAGGTAAGTATAGCATGTTTGTTATTTAAAATTTAAAAAAAATTAACCTTTCGAATTGCTTTAAGATTGATAAAACACAAACTATGGAATAAGCATTAATTTAACTGACAGCTTACATGGGAGATTTTCTAAACACTCTTGCATATGCTCATAAAAGCATGACAAAGCAACACACAACTGAAGACTGTGGAAATGGAAAATGTGGAGCAGTGTTCTCCAGAAAAGGTGTATAGGTACACCTGTAGGGTTGGTTCACATCTTTGTAGATTGCATTTGATGCATTTTCCAGGTGCATTTTGCATTTTTTTCACACTTGTTTTCGATGCTTTTTTTTTGCATTTTTCGCTTTGTGTGACTTCAGTTGGTTGTTAAGGAGTGGGCAGCCACTGGCGGCCATAACAATCAGTAAACATCATGGTTGTTTACTGACAGCTGAATATAAAGAAACCTATTGCCGGCAATTAAAGAAAAAAAAAATCAGGGAAAAAAGTGTGGGGTTCCCCCCCAATCCTTACCAGGCCGTTCGGGTCTAGTATTGATTTTTAGGGGAACCTTGCCCAAAGAAAAAAAAAAAACAACCAAACAAAAAACATGTGGGTTGTGGGGAAGAGGCCCTTGTCCTTATCAACATGGGGACAAGGTACTTTGGGGGGGGAGCCCTCTCTGCCCCAAAGCACCCCACATGTTGAGAGCATGTGGCCAGTATCATTCAGGAGGAGGGGGTGCTCACTTGTCCCTCCCTCCCCTTTCCTGACCTGCTGCACTGCATGCTCGGGCAAGTGTCTTCTGTGGATTTTGGGGGGTACCCCATGCCATTTATTTTTTATTATTTTACTTTTGGCATGGGTTCCTCTTAAGATCCATACTAGACCCAAAGTGCCTTGTATGGATTGGATTGGGGGGGGGGGGGCACACTGTTTTTTCCCATTTTTTTTTTTTTTTTTAATTTCCAGCAATAGGTTTCTTTATTTTCAGCTGGCATCTGAATACTGAACTGTAAAGTATTTCTGCAAACTGGAAAATGCATTGACAATCCACATAAGTGTGAACCTAGGGTAAAGTGATCCTGAACTTTACACATTCAGGGCAAATTTAACTGGTTTGGTAGGTGGCAGGAACCCCCTTCCCCCTGCCCAGTGCTAGTACCTATTTCCACCGCTACCCACTGTTCTGTTTACCAGTAGGACACCTGGAAAGAACCTAATATTTCCCAATAGGGGGAAAGCATGACATTTCCCATGCCAGTCTTGTGTGTTGTCACATGGGGCAAGATGTGTAAGATTCAACCCAAGAGTTTCATAGCAATTTTATGGTGGATCCATGGAGCAAATGGAGTTGTTGGGGTAACGCCTAGAAGGTAGATACATGTTTTGGAGGGTGGTATGTGCTATCCAGAAAACCTGCGACTTTGAAAAAAGGACAGGTTTGGTTTCAAGTGACAAATTGACATGGGCACAGTTCCGAGGATCAATATTTGAGATCTTGTCATCAGTGAAAATCATGGCAGTTTAGCCTCACTTTTCAAAAAAATCTATCAAACTCCTTGCCAGTGCTAAAAATACCACTGGTGTTTAGGTGAGTTTAGTATCCTGACGAAGAGAAAAGCATTATTAGCAGTATTTTAAAACAGATGTTCTCTTATGATATTTAGGTCAACTGGGTGTTATAAAATTGAGTGAATGGATAAAAGGCAACTGTCAAGAACAAAGTCTAAATCTGTGTGTGAACCTGACAGCAAACAGGGTTTGTAGAAATAGATATCATTGTCAGCTGGATGCTTCACTTTGTGAATTAAATCCCCAAATGCTGTCCTCATTACAGCTGCCTTGGTTGGGGTGGTTAATTCAGAATAGTTTCTGGCTGTTTGTACAAATTACAGCACACGTCCCCTCAAAAGAGACACAAAGCACTGTGACAGCTGGCCCTAAGGAAACAACAGACCGGCCTAGGAAATAAACAGTTTAGAGCTGCACACTAGGACCACTACTGATAGATGATGACAGATCATTTTTTTTTTTACTGATCGATGTTAGTCTGTTGTGTTTTCCAGATTCATTTCTTTTAGCATACTGGAATGATACTCCAAAAGAGGCTGGTGGCGACATCAGACTCTGGATTGAACTGAAAGTATTCTTTGAAATCGATATCTTTTTCTTTTTTACTCTTGTCTGCCTGCTTGTCTGTCAGTTGCTTTCTCTGCTGCCAGCAGCTGCCACCTCATTGAGCTCAGACTGTCTGCTTGTGCTATACAGGGAACAAGAGATCCACTGTTTCTGACTGGTGTGACGTTTCCTTCGGAGTATCCCATCTACGAAGAGACTAAAATTAAGCTATCAGTGTATGATGTCAAGGATAAGTCTCAAGAAACCGTGAGTATCCCTACGGCACGTTTTCTTTTCTTCACTTCCTTGCCTGCCTCCCTGCACTTCAGAGCTCTCTAGAATGACATTAAAGCTAGCTATGGACAGGGTAAGTGTTCTGGATGTGCAATTTTCTATTTGGTCAGCTCCCTAATTACACACTAAAGTGATAAGTGGCTGTTTTCAAGCTGGGTAAATGCTGTTTTGGTCTCAGCTCAGAGGCCACCAACGGCCAAGCAGCTGCTCTTTAAAATTGTATGCTCTGCATTAATTTTTTATAAACTGAGCCCTTTTTGCTTTTGGCTTGACTTGAGGCATGCATTTCAAGATTTGTTTTGGCAGGAGAGGGGTTAACTGCCTCCGTCTTTAAAGCTCAATGGAGTGAATCTTGTGATTTCTTCCCTAGAATGGGAACAGATGGATTAAATTAAACACTACAAATAACCTTACAAAAAATATGTCTTGTACAAATGGGCCTCTTCGTAGCAATCTGCTAACCTGTTCTATCTATGATAATGAAACGCTAACGAAGATCCCAACACTTAAATATGAATCTTTGGCTTGCAGTCTGGAAAGTTTTGTCTGACACATTTTTTCCAATATTTACACCCTGATCTATCACTGGTTCTGTTTTTAATGAGCAAAATCAGTAACAGGAATGCTTTACTAGTGTATAATATGTCGTTGACTGCTTTGTATTCTGTGTAGTCACTCTGTAAAAAGTGTGCGCTTTATACCCCATGTTTTTGCTAGTTTGTTTTATATATTTATATACCTTTTATGTTTCGTCCTGTGAGAAAATTAAAATATGCATATTAACACATAGTTCTTGCAAGGCGTTTGAAATTTCAAAGGGTCTGTAAACATGCTGAGCGGGTAATTTGTGAGTGCATTAGAATGCTGTTTAGTTGGGTTTAATGTACTGATTAAAAGTGACTTTTCAATGAAACACCAAACAGGACTCATTGACAGAACTTTATGAGAGAGGAGTAGAGACAAGGGGAATGAAAGTTAGAGTTAACTGTGTGCAAGTCTTATAATAATGGCCATTCATTTTATCAGTCATTTTACTTCCTGCTTAAGTTTGTGCCCTACATTCCAAAACGCCTTTGCTTTTTTTTTTTTTTTTTAAGCAGTATATTAAGCTAGCTCCATTATGAACTCTATTACATCAATCTTTCATCATTTATTTTCATTAACCTGACTTTGATCTCTTAAGTCTTCAAAGTCTTGGCAAATACAGTTTCATTTTTTTTTCCTTTGGAAAACGGATATAAAAGAAATGAGTGTAAGTAGCATTGTACTGTAGTAGGCATAGGTAGGTAGACTATCATTGTTTGCAGCCTTCAGTATATTTAGTG